AAGAACACACATTAGTGATCTCCGCCTCTTCCCATTCTCGTACATGAACAGCTGACCTGCAGCTGCATGATGAGCGGAAGAGTACGGGGATACTCTTTATTTATTTAATACTTCACAATAGCATTTTTTTATAAATATAAATAGCGCCTATGAGATAATTAAAAGCTAAAAAGGACTATATTTGTCGAAACTTTTCATTAAATGATTAAATTTAAATGGCCATAAGTGCACAAAAATAACAGTGCAGCTTAATGTTACAAAATACTAATAAAAAGAGCAAATTAAAGATAATTCAAAATAACAATAAAGTGCTTGAGTAGGTTACAATAGACTAATTAGATGAGTAAGATATAAGTTTAACAATAGTAATAGATGGCATTAATTAATATAATTCAATTTTTTCATTTATAAGCATCTACAAGATGCACCGAGAAAAAATAGCCCCAAGTGGCCAATTGGAATAATAGAGAAAAGTCGAGACAAAGTCTGGTCATTTTCTCTAATACGGGCTTAAGCTAAAATTAGCTTAAATTACAAAAAGTAAATGATAATTAATATAGATAATTAAATAAAAATAGTTTAACAATTCATTTTAGCAGTTTTGATTTCATTAACATTCATTCGATATATCGCAAGTGCAATTGAGTAAGTGACGATGCACCCCTGGCGTTGTGCCTATCGGGGTGCATAATCAAAAACAAAACAAAAAACAGCTGATTGAAAATTGCATTAAATGCAAATTTTATGCTGCTAATTGGTAAGTTTAAATATTAACAAGTAAATAATTGAAATTTATGGTATTAATAATTAATATTAATTAATTATTATCTTTTTATATGTATGTGGCTGCTGTCATACGGAATACAGACAGGCGCAACACTGAATATAGCAGGATTGCATTAATTGCAAGCTGAATAGCAGGTGAGTTTTGCAATATAAAAAATTAACAATTGAAAAAGTGATATTAATAAAGTTAACAATTAATATTAATTAATTATTATCTTTATATATAAACAGCTGCTACCATACAAAGTGCAGGGGGGCGCAAAGCTGGAAATAGCCGAACTTCATTAATTGCAAGTTGACTAGCAGGTAAGTGAATTTTGCAGAAGTTAATAAAAACATTCAAAGATTATTAATGTTGATTTTTTCTTTGCAGAATACATGAAGTACAGCAAGGAGACTTAGTCATATGGGCTGCATAGCCAATAGGGCGCATAATTAAGTTAGATTTAAGTAGATTTAAATTTGAATTTTAGGCGCAAGCGCCGTCAGATATGTTCGCTGCACATATACATATATGTGCCGAAAATAAACTTTTGTAATTGTAGCCGAGAGTTTAATTTGTGTTCAAGTAGTGTAAATACTTAACTCTGATCCCTATGTGATCTAAATAGGACCCTATAGGCAGCAAGTGGTGATGGTGGTGGTAGTGGCCGCGGCATTGGCGCAATACCCTCGAAGACAGGTAGACGTTGCGGCTGGTGGGCTGCTGCTTGTGCAGCTTCGTTGTGTTGCTGAGCCTCCCGTCGGCGAAGGAATCGTTCTCTGCTTTCAGCTACTTCGTCGGCTTCTCTTTGTAGTTGTCTCTGGGTGCGTAGAGCAATGTCATTGGCCAAATGCGTGTTTACGAGACTCGTGTATCTTGCCAATGTTATCCGCTGTGGGATGAACGGGTCGTAGGCAATGTTTTTGGCCAAGTTGTTGGTATGGACCCGGAGTCGATCATAGTATTTGGCGCAGAGATTGTTGAATATTTCATCCGCAGATAAAACTTCCAAATCAGCTCTGATGCGCGCGTTCGAAACATAGTACTGAGCAACAGAAATGGCTCTCAGTGCTTTGTTGTGTACGACTCGAATGCGGCTGAATTGCGCCTCGGATAGCAGAGCGCCCCATACAGGCAGCGAGTATTGCCAAAGTGGAGCAACTAGCTGTTTTTCTGTTCGTATGTTACAAGAGAACACACATTGATGATCTCCGTTTCTTCGCATCTCATACATGATCAGCTGACCAGCAGCTGCATGGCGAGGGGAAGATAGTACGGAGATACTTTTTATTCAATTAATACTTCACAATAGCATTTCTTATGAATATAAATAGCGCCTATGAGATAATTAAAATCTAAAAAAGGACTATATTTGTCGAAACTTATCATTACATGATTAAATTTAAATGGCCATAAGTGCACAAAAATAACAGTGCAGCTTAATTTTACAAAATACTTATAATAGAGCAATTTAAAGATAATAGAAATTAACAATAAAGTGCTTGAGTAACTGATTAACGACTAAATAGATAAGTAAAATTTAAGTTTAACAATAGTAATAGATGGCATTAATTAATATAATTCAATTATTTCATTAATAAGCATCTACAAGATGCACAGAGAAAAGTAGCCCAAAGTGGCCAATTGGAATAAAAGAGAAAAGTCGAGACAAAGTCTGGTCATTTTCTCAAGTATGGGCTTGAGCTAAAATTAGCTTAAATTACAAAAAGTTAAAACAGCTGATTGGAAATTGCATTAAATGCAAATTTTATGACTGATCCCTATGTGATCTAAATAGGACCCTATAGGCAGCAAGTGGTGATGGTGGTGGTAGTGGCAGCGGCATTGGCGCAATACCCTCGAAGACAGGTAGCCGTTGCGGCTGGTGGGCTGCTGCTTGTGCAGCTTCGTTGTGTTGCTGAGCCTCCCGTCGGCGAAGGAATCGCTCCCTACTTTCAGCTATTTCATCGGCCTCCCGTTGTAGTTGTCGCTGGGTGCGTAGAGCAATGTCATTGGCCAAATGCGTGTTTACGAGACTCGTGTATCTTGCCAATGTTATCCGCTGTGGGATGAACGGGTCATAGGCAATGTTTTTGGCCAAGTTGTTGGTATGGACCCGGAGTCGATCATAGTATTTGGCGCAGAGATTGTTGAATATATCATCCGCAGACAGGACTTGCAACTCAGCTCTGATGCGCGTGTTCGAAACAAAGTACTGAGCACCAGAAATGGCTCTCAGAGCTTTGTTGTGTACGACTCGAATGCGGCTGAATTGCGCCTCAGATAGCAGAGCGCCCCATACAGGCAGCGAGTATTGCCAAAGTGGAGCAACTAGCTGCTTGTAAATAATGACTTTTGTTCTGAGCGTCAATTTGCTATCTTTGTTAATGAGCCAATCTATCTTTTTAAGCCTAGCCCTGACCCTAGTAACGACCGTAGTGACATGTTGTGAGAATCGTAGTTTTGTGTCTAGAGTAACGCCCAAATACGAATGTGAGGTGCCATTCTCAATAGTTTCGTTGCCAATGCGAATCGCCTGATATGGCGCTATGACTCTAAGAGTATGCATGATATGCATAGTCTTGTTTGCATTTATTGTAATGCACCACTTGCTCGCCCATTCAGCCAATCTATCCATGTAAGCTTGCTGTTGATTAAGAGCATCTGCTTGGCGAAAGTCTGTCGATAGGACAATGACGTCGTCAGCATAAGTAGCAATGAGAATCCCACGCAGACAAGTTGGCCTTGGTATGTCGCTGGTGTATATGTTGTACAAGATAGGCCCGAGCAAGCTACCTTGTGGCACACCAGCGTTAATTTGCTTGATTCCTGAGCGACAGCCACCGTGACACTCAACAATGAAAGTGCGATCTGCTAGATAGCAACAGAGGATGCGATAGAGAGCATCCGGCAAAAGCCTCTTAAGCTTATACTTCAAGCCTGTATGCCACACTCGATCAAAGGCTTCTTTGATATCCATATACACAGCAGAGCAGTATTTATGATCATCAAACGCTTTAATAATGTATTGGGTGACTCGACCCAATTGCTGCTCAGCAGAATGCGCCTTGCGGAATCCAAATTGATGATTTGGAATCGCATTTACAAGAGTATCTTGCTCCAGCATACGGCTCAAAATCAGATACTCAAGTATCTTAGAGAGGCCAGACAGCAGACTTATTGGCCTGTATGATGCAACATGGTGCGTAGGCTTGCCAGGCTTATGCACCATCTTCACCACTGCTAACTTCCAGCTCGAGGGGAAATGACTCAATCTAAGAGAGTTATTGCATATCATAACAAGATACAAAACAGCCTTCAATGGCAGCGCTTTAATGGTGTGATTGTCAATTTGATCCAATCCAGCCGCTTTTTTGTTCTCTAGCGTGCTGATGTGACTGGTGACCTCAGCCGCAGTGACTGGCCGGAATGAGACTGAAGCAGTCAAAGATGGCTGGCTAACTTGAGCCTCGATTTCAGCCAGAACACTGGGTGGCGTAGTCACAATAGGTTGAAAACGCTGCTCAAGACTTGCAGCAAACGTTTCGGCCTTTTCGGCAGTTGTCTTGCACCAGACGTTTTGCGCATTAGAGCCATTGCCGCTGGAGGACTTCAACAGCGGTAGATTTGGAGCAGGCTGCCGCTTGATCTCGTTGGTCAGTCGCCAGAGCTTCTGCATACTATATCTATCTGTTGGATCGATAGATATAAATAGCTCTTCCTCATACTTCTGCCTAGCATATATGAGCTCTTTGCGTATGCGATTCGATAGCCTGTTGCAGAGCATCTTAAGCATCGGATTGCGACTTCGAGTCAGATAGCGCTTGACTTGCTTATGGGCCTCGATAAGTTGCAGAGTCTGTCTATTTACGCGATATCTAGTCCTCTTTATCGTGCGTGGGTGCTGTGCATTCGCATAGTTTGCAGCATCTTCAATGTTCTTTACAAAAATCTTGACCGCATCATCAATATCGTCAGCACTGTTGATCTCAGTGTTGAGCAAGATTTTGTCGTTTAGATAGCTCTGAAATTTGTTGATGTTAGCGTTCAGATCAAGTAGATGGCCTTTTGCTCTGCTGGTGACAGGCTTCTCAACCAGCTGAACTTGCAGCGGGAGATGATCAGAGCTAAGCTCGAAAGAGTCAGTGATGGCAAGCAAATCTCGCCTGATACCTTTAAATAGCGCAAAGTCAATGGCAGACGGAGTTTGGCGTGAATTAAACGGAAAATGGGTGGGCGACCCAGTTGCCAGAATGTTGCAATTCACTTGTAGAATACTATTGACTAGCATTCGGCCACGGAGACAAGATCTGGCGTTGCCCCACCACTGACTTTTCGCATTCCAGTCACCACCGACTATAAAGGTGTCACCCAAGGATAAAAGCAGGTTGTTGAAATCTTGCCCAGACCAGATGACTTGAGGCGGGCAGTAGATTGAGACAATATTGATATGACGGCCATTTTGCAGGCTGACTGAAACTTCGACAGATTGATGCGAGTCGTAAGATGTAAAGCGCATAGCATAATGGCATATCTGTTGTTTAATTATGAAGGCTGCACCTCCTCTGCGCCTGTTTGAGGGGTGATTTGCTAAATAAACAATATAGCCATTAATAGCAATGCTATCGCTATCAGTCAGATGCGTCTCGGACACTAGCATTATGTCTATATCGTGCTTGACGAGATATAGATTGAGCTCATTAAGCTTTTTCTTGACACCGGCAGCATTCCAAAAAGATATGTTCATGTTGTTGACACGTTGAGATACAGCAGGCTGCAGTGCAGCGCTGCGTCTACTGGTATTTGGGGAAGTAGTTACATTGTTAGACATTTAAGCGCTCATTGGGACCAAATTGGGCCAACAGGCAGGCCGTGAGTGTGGTCATCATCTCAATGAGTTTGTCTATTTTAGCCTCTAATCTAAAGCTAACTTGCACTGGCATACTTGGCACATTCGCATTCATTGGCTGCTCGAAACGTTGAAAATGAACACCCCCACTAGCTGGATGCGCACCCCCATCTATTGGTTGCGGATGCCTACGGCGCGTACTCAGACTACGGCTACGTTTTGGCTGCGGCGGCCGCTGCGCACTTGCCTGCCTAGGCAAACGAACTTGTTGCTGTTGTTGTTGTTGCTGCTGTTGTTGTTGTTGCTGGCTAACTTTGGTGGCTTTTTGCCTAGACTGACGCTGTTTGCTGCTAATAGCTGCCGGTCCGACAGGCTGAGCAAATTGAAGGCCCGCCCGAAGAGCAGCCGAATAACTGGGCCCTGCACTAACAGTTTGCGGTCGTGACTGAGGGGGGGCTTGCTGCAAAAGATTTGGCATATTAGACATATTTGGCATGTTTACTCGACTGCTCTGAGCAGTTACAGTCGGAGCAGGCTTAGCTAGAGTGTTAATTATCTTTGCTAGCTGCGTAGCACTCTCATTTTCACGCTTCTTGCACGCTTCTTTATACGCAGGGCAGCCTTTGTAGCTCGCGGCATGTGGGCCGGAGCAATTGGCACACTTTGCTGGAGTTTGGTCGCCTTTTTGCTTGCCACAGTCCGTGGAAGCATGATTGGCGCCGCACTTGACGCAGGCAAAGGGGCGACGGCAATAATTCTTTGTGTGCCCGAATTTTTGGCACCTATGGCATTGAGCAATTTCATTAGTTTTATACGGCCGCTCAATTTTGACACGCTGGTTGCCAATGGCCGTAATTTGCAGCAATTCTGCGTTGTTTGCGCTGACGGCTAACTCAACCTCAAAGAGATCGAGAGGCTCTTTTGTAAATCGAGACTTAATGCCTCTTAAAAAGCGGACTTCGTGCCCTAACTTGGCCAACTGCTCACGGATATAGTGATCCGGAGTGGAGAAGTGCAGATGCCGAATAACAGCTCTATAGCCGCGCTCGCACTTCAATTGAAATGTGTAATTTTCAATTGAATTTGCGTCGAGATATCTTACCAGCTTGCGGTGCGTGGCGACGTCCTTGCACTGGACACGAATGCCGTGGTTAGCAGCAGGCTTGGTGGAGTAATTGTCCTGGCCAATAGCGTCATCCAGGCGTATTAGCAGAGGCATAATATCCGTCACGTTGGCGATAAATAGCGGCGCTGGCTTTGCACTCGGTTGCGCACGGCTGGCTCCGGTTGTAGTGGCAGCGGCTGCAGCAGTAACAGCGGCAGCAGTAGTAGCAGCTGCAGCGGCAGCATTAGGTGGCATAGTTTGCACTTTTGCAGCTGTACAAACTTCATTGGCAAGGCAAGTTGCCTCTCGCTGCGTGTCCTCAGTCCTGGTGGTCCGTATTAAGTCGTCAATTGGCAGGCAGTCCTCGTCACTGCCATCCAGATCAACTGCGCACAGCTGCGCAGTCTTCTTCTTGGGGCTGTCGCCTTTCTCCGCAGTCCTCTTTGCTGCTCTTTCGTTTGCAAGTGGCTTCGCGCCACTTTTAATAGCATCTTTAGCTTTAAAATAGTCAGCGACCAATGTTTGCGCTGAAGTTGAAGCTTTTGATTTTAATAACTGAGCCGCTGCTCGAGATGTTGATGGTTGTGCCATAACCACATTTTTCTTCACCGGCACTTTCGATGGCGTGGGCGCAGGCGCTAATGGCTGCGAGTCGATTAATAATTCGACTTCCACGTCCATATCCTCTTCACCGTCATCTGCAGTATAGCCCCTAGGCATTGCAGCAATTTAATTTGCAAAAATTAATTGCAAAAACACCGATTTTAATAGATTTAAATTACAACTTTTTTTTTTCCTGTTCGTATGTCTACAAAGAACACACATTAGTGATCTCCGCCTCTTCCCATTCTCGTACATGAACAGCTGACCTGCAGCTGCATGATGAGCGGAAGAGTACGGGGATACTCTTTATTTATTTAATACTTCACAATAGCATTTTTTTATAAATATAAATAGCGCCTATGAGATAATTAAAAGCTAAAAAGGACTATATTTGTCGAAACTTTTCATTAAATGATTAAATTTAAATGGCCATAAGTGCACAAAAATAACAGTGCAGCTTAATGTTACAAAATACTAATAAAAAGAGCAAATTAAAGATAATTCAAAATAACAATAAAGTGCTTGAGTAGGTTACAATAGACTAATTAGATGAGTAAGATATAAGTTTAACAATAGTAATAGATGGCATTAATTAATATAATTCAATTTTTTCATTTATAAGCATCTACAAGATGCACCGAGAAAAAATAGCCCCAAGTGGCCAATTGGAATAATAGAGAAAAGTCGAGACAAAGTCTGGTCATTTTCTCTAATACGGGCTTAAGCTAAAATTAGCTTAAATTACAAAAAATAAATGATAATTAATATAGATAATTAAATAAAAATAGTTTAACAATTCATTTTAGCAGTTTTGATTTCATTAACATTCATTCGATATATCGCAAGTGCAATTGAGTAAGTGACGATGCACCCCTGGCGTTGTGCCTATCGGGGTGCATAATCAAAACAAAAAAACAAAAACAGCTGATTGAAAATTGCATTAAATGCAAATTTTATGCTGCTAATTGGTAAGTTTAAATATTAACAAGTAAATAATTGAAATTTATGGTATTAATAATTAATATTAATTAATTATTATCTTTTTATATGTATGTGGCTGCTGTCATACGGAATACAGACAGGCGCAACACTGAATATAGCAGGATTGCATTAATTGCAAGCTGAATAGCAGGTGAGTTTTGCAATATAAAAAATTAACAATTGAAAAAGTGATATTAATAAAGTTAACAATTAATATTAATTAATTATTATCTTTATATATAAACAGCTGCTACCATACAAAGTGCAGGGGGCGCAAAGCTGGAAATAGCCGAACTTCATTAATTGCAAGTTGACTAGCAGGTAAGTGAATTTTGCAGAAGTTAATAAAAACATTCAAAGATTATTAATGTTGATTTTTTCTTTGCAGAATACATGAAGTACAGCAAGGAGACTTAGTCATATGGGCTGCATAGCCAATAGGGCGCATAATTAAGTTAGATTTAAGTAGATTTAAATTTGAATTTTAGGCGCAAGCGCCGTCAGATATGTTCGCTGCACATATACATATATGTGCCGAAAATAAACTTTTGTATTGTAGCCGAGAGTTTAATTTGTGTTCAAGTAGTGTAAATACTTAACTCTGATCCCTATGTGATCTAAATAGGACCCTATAGGCAGCAAGTGGTGATGGTGGTGGTAGTGGCCGCGGCATTGGCGCAATACCCTCGAAGACAGGTAGACGTTGCGGCTGGTGGGCTGCTGCTTGTGCAGCTTCGTTGTGTTGCTGAGCCTCCCGTCGGCGAAGGAATCGTTCTCTGCTTTCAGCTACTTCGTCGGCTTCTCTTTGTAGTTGTCTCTGGGTGCGTAGAGCAATGTCATTGGCCAAATGCGTGTTTACGAGACTCGTGTATCTTGCCAATGTTATCCGCTGTGGGATGAACGGGTCGTAGGCAATGTTTTTGGCCAGATTGTTGGTATGGACCCGGAGTCGATCATAGTATTTGGCGCAGAGATTGTTGAATATTTCATCCGCAGATAAAACTTCCAAATCAGCTCTGATGCGCGCGTTCGAAACATAGTACTGAGCACCAGAAATGGCTCTCAGTGCTTTGTTGTGTACGACTCGAATGCGGCTGAATTGCGCCTCGGATAGCAGAGCGCCCCATACAGGCAGCGAGTATTGCCAAAGTGGAGCAACTAGCTGCTTGTATATGATGACTTTAGTCCTTAGAGTCAATTTACTGTCTTTATTGATGAGCCAATCTATCTTTTTAAGCCTAGCCCTAACCCTAGTAACGACCGTAGTGACATGTTGTGAAAAGCGTAGTTTTGTGTCTAGAGTAACGCCCAAATACGAATGTGAGGTGCCATTCTCAATAGTTTCGTTGCCAATGCGAATCGCCTGATATGGCGCTATAACTCTAAGAGTATGCATGATATGCATAGTCTTGTTTGCATTAATTGTAATGCACCACTTGCTCGCCCATTCAGCCAAACTATCCATATAAGCTTGCTGCTGATTGAGCGCGATCTGCTTGACGAAAGTCTGCCGAAAGAACAATGACGTCATCAGCATAAGTAGCAATAAGAAATCCCACGCAGACAGGTTGGCCTTGGTATGTCGCTGGTGTATATATTGTACAAGATTGGCCCGAGCAAGCTACCTTGTGGCACACCAGCGTGAATTTGTTTGATACCTGAGCGACAGCCACCGTGACACTCAACAATGAAAGTGCGATCTGCTAGATAGCAGCAGAGGATGCGATAGAGAGCATCTGGCAGTAGCCTCTTAAGCTTATACTTCAAGCCTGTATGCCACACTCGATCAAAGGCTTCCTTGATATCCATATAGACAGCAGAGCAGTATTTGTGGTCATCAAACGCTTTAATAATGTACTGGGTGACTCGACCCAATTGCTGCTCAGCTGAATGCGCCTTGCGGAATCCAAATTGATGATTTGGAATCGCATTTACAAGAGTATCTTGCTCCAGCATACGGCTCAGTATCAAGTACTCGAGTATCTTTGAGAGGCCAGACAGCAGACTTATTGGCCTGTATGATGCAACATGGTGTGTGGGCTTGCCAGGCTTATGCACCATCTTCACCACTGCTAACTTCCAGCTCGAGGGGAAATGACTCAATCTAAGAGAGTTATTGCATATCATAACAAGATACAAAACAGCCTTCAATGGCAGCGCTTTGATGGTGTGATTATCGATTTGGTCCAAACCAGCCGCTTTTTTGTTCTCTAGCGTGCTGATGTGACTGATGACTTCAGCCGCAGTGACTGGCCGAAATGAGACTGAAGCAGTCAAAGATGGCTGGCTAACTTGAGCCTCGATTTCAGCCAGAACACTGGGTGGCGTAGTCACGATTGGTTGAAAACGCTGCTCGAGACTTGCAGCAAATGTTTCGGCCTTCTCGGCAGTTGTCTTGCACCAGACGTTTTGCGCATTAGAGCCATTGCCGCTGGAGGACTTCAACAGCGGTAGATTTGGAGCAGGCTGTCGCTTGATTTCGTTGGTCAGGCGCCAGAGTTTTTGCATACTATATCTATCGGTTGGATCGATAGATCTGAATAGCTCTTCCTCATACTTCTGCCTAGCATATATGAGCTCTTTGCGTATGCGATTCGATAGCCTGTTGCACAGCATCTTAAGCATCGGATTGCGACTTCGAGTCAGATAGCGCTTGACTTGCTTATGGGCCTCGATGAGTTGCAGAATCTGTCTATTTACGCGATATCTAGTCCTCGTTATTTTGCGTGGGTGCTGTGCATTCGCATAGTTTGCAGCATCTTCAATGTTTCGGACAAAAATATTCACCGCATCATCAATATCGTCTGCACTGTTGATCTCAGTGTTGAGCAAAATTTTGTCATTTAGATAGCTCTGAAATTTGTTGATGTTAGCATTCATATCTAGCAAGTGGCCTTTTGCTCTGCTGGTGACAGGCTTCTCAACCAGCTGAACTTGCAACGGGAGATGATCAGAGCTAAGCTCGAAAGAGTCAGTGATGGCAAGCAAATCTCGCCTGATACCTTTAAATAGCGCAAAGTCAATGGCAGACGGAGTTTGGCGTGAATTAAACGGAAAATGGGTGGGCGACCCAGTTGCCAGAATGTTGCAATTCACTTGTAGAATACTATTGACTAGCGTTCGGCCACGGAGACAAGATCTGGCGTTGCCCCACCACTGACTTTTCGCATTCCAGTCACCACCGACTATAAAAGTGTCACCCAGAGATATAAGCAGGTTGTTGAAATCTTGCCCAGACCAGATGACTTGAGGCGGGCAGTAGATTGAGACGATATTAATGTGACGGCCATTTTGCAGGCTGACTGAAACTTCTACAGATTGATGCGAGTCGTTAGATGTAAAGCGCATAGCATAATGGCATATATGTTGTTTAATTATAAAGGCTGCACCTCCTCTGCGCCTGTTTGAGGGGTGATTTGCTAAATAAACAATATAACCATTAATAGCAATGCTATCGCTATCAGTCAAGGCGCGTCTCAGACACTAGCATTATATCTATATCGTGCTTGACGAGATACAGATTGAGCTCATTAAGCTTTTTCTTGACACCGGCAGCATTCCAAAAGATATGTTCATGTTGTTGACACGTTGAGATACAGCAGGCTGCAGTGCAGCGCTGCGTCTACTGGCATTTGGAGAAGTGGATACATTGCTAGACATTTAAGCGCTCATTGGGACCAAATTGGGCCAACAGGCAGGCCGTGAGGGTGGTCATCATCTCAATGAGTTTGTCTATTTTAGCCTCTAATCTAAAGCTAACTTGCACTGGCATACTTGGCACATTCGCATTTATTGGCTGCTCGAAACGTTGAAAATGAACACCCCCACTAACTGGATGCGCACCCCCATCTATTGGTTGCGGATGTCTACGGCGCGTACTCAGACTACGGCTACGTTTTGGCTGCGGCGGCCGCTGTGCGCTTGCCTGTCTTGGCAAGCGGACTTGTTGCTGCTGCTGTTGTTGTTGTTGCTGTTGCAGAAGTTGTTGTTGTTGGCTACGTTTGGTGGCATTTTGCCTCGACTGACGCTGTTTGCTGCTAATAGCTGCCGGTCCGACAGGCTGAGCAAATTGTAAACCCGCCCGAAGGGCAGCCGAATAACTGGGCCCTGCACTAACAGTTTGCGGTCGTGACTGAGGGGGGGCTTGCTGTAAAAGATTTGGCATATTTGACATATTTGGCATATTTGCTCGACTGCTCTGAGCAGCTGCAGTGGGAGCAGGCTTAGCTAAGTTGTTAATGACCTTGGCTAGCTGCGTGGCACTTTCATTTTCACGCTTCTTGCACGCTTCTTTATAAGAAGGGCAGCCTTTGTAGCTCGCGGCATGTGGGCCGGAGCAATTGGCACACTTCGCTGGAGTTTGGTCGCCTTTTTGCTTGCCACAGTCCGTGGAAGC